CAGAAAAATCTACTTGAGTACAGTAACGAAGTATTTGTACTTTGTTACTTCCCATCTCTGCCAATTACACTAGTTTTCACTAGATGTGGATGAAGCCAATGATCTGCATTGGATGGCGCACATGACGTGAAATAAATATTTGTAAACATTAAACTGAAGCCAGGAGTAACGAGTAACGTTTGTTTTAAAAATGTAAGGAATAGAAAGTACAGATACCTGTGTGAAAATGTAATGAGTAGAAGTCAGAAGTAGGAAGAATAATAAGTAATGGAGTAAAGTATAGCAGGCATTCCAAGTCTCCCGGAAGTTCCGGGAGTCTCCCTGATATACATAGTTGTTCACGGATGCCCGTGAGTCTGATAAATTGTTTTGGACTATGCTGTTTTTTTAATGCGAGTGAGAGCGAGCAGGCAATACAATAATTCTGGCATCATGTGCGGATTAGAACTACTGAGATTGCGCAGACAACAAGAGAGAGCGGGGTGTGCGGAGGAGGTTGTTGATGAAACCGGTGCAGCGTATCTGTCCAAAGCGATGCTCTGTTCAGTGAGCGTTCCAGGCGACTGGTTTGACTGGTCTGACTGGTTGTCAGAGAGCTGATTGGATCAGTCCGATAAGTTTTGGGTTACTCTCTCACCTAGTTACCACTCAAAGCTGTGCATCCTGTGAAACGGCAGAGATTGAATACTCAAGTAAAAAATGAAAATATCAGACTAATTTTACAGCAGAATATACTAAAGTATATCACGTCTAGTGAAGGGGAGGAACAGTGGCGGATCTAGACCAAATGTACCAGGGGGCCAGGAGGGGGCCAGCGTGTTTTCATGGGGGCACAAAAGAGCATGAAATAATCAGGGCAAGAGATTCAAATATATTAAGAGAGCTACATGAAGTGAAATTTCTTTACAATAAGGTTCAATAAAAATTCTATTTCTTATGAGGTCAATATACATTAATTATATAGGAATTTTGAATATTTTTGACTTAATTTTAGTTAAAACTACCATTTTCTATAAAATTTAGATAAGAATTCAAGAAAAACTGTTAAATTCATCTGAAAAAATTAGAAAAATGTTTTTCTATTTGGTTTAAAAAAAACATTTAGCAGATGAAAACTGGGTTCCTATCTCAATACCACTGAAGCTATCACCTTATTGTTTTTGAATAATTAGTTAAACAGAATTTGTAAAGAAAAAGAATGAAATAGATCCAAAGGGCCTATCAGTTGCTATGTCTGTAACCAGCGCATACCATCAATAGAATTTCTTTTAAGTATTGTGTCTTTAGTACAGGGGCCATAACTGTCATGGTCTTAGTTCTGTTGTGCTTTACTTTGTTCCATGTTTTCCTGTTTTAATTCCTATTTTGTTGTAGTTTCTAGAGTTATGTTAGTTCCCAGGTTTTTTCTGTTGTTGTCCTCTGTTGCCCTCTTGTGTGTTTTTCTTTTCCCTTGGCTTTCTCATTGTCTCCACTCACACCTGCTCCTTATCTGCTCGTTAGCCCTGCCTTTGTCTCAGTCAGCTACATATACTCTCCCTCTGCTGTCACTCCTTGTTGGTTCCTTGTCGTTGCTGGCTTCTTATTCTGTTGTCTTCCTACCTCGTCTCAACCTGGCTTCACCTGTTTGGTTTCCCCTGATGTCTCCATGGTTTTGGTTTGCTTTACAATTTTCATTGGATATTTCGATTCCTGCCTTTGTTTGCTGTTTACATCATTAAACTGCAAGAAATCTCCTCAGCCTCTCTGCCTCTGCATTTAGGACCTCAACCAAAACGTGACAATAACAGGGGTCAGGACATGATTTACAGGGGCACCGGCCCCTGTTGGCCCCTGTCTAGAACCGGCCATGATGAGGAGCGATGACACCATGGGGAGGTGCACTGTATGCTGAAGTCCCATGGAAGTATGTGTGTGCGTTTCTTTCTTTTTTTTTTTTGCTGGCGGGTGGGGTGGTTGGTGGTATAAGCATCTCCCTGAAATGAGTTTTTGGAACTTGGGATGTTATAGATACCTAAAAAGTGTACTTAAGTACAGTAACAAAGTATTTGTACTTCGTTACTTGACACCTCTGAGTACTGGAGCCTAACCTGATATCCTTTCCATATTAAAATGTATACTCAGTGTGTTATCCTGTCAACAGTTTTTGGTTGTGCTTGAATAAGAAACTAATAATTATTGCAGATAATCAACATAAAAAATGCATTCATGATATGAAACAATGCATTCTTTTATTCATAAGGCAGATGAAATCATTTTTGAAGCGTTCACACCCACGCAGTGGAAAACAGCGCATGTGGAAATGACAGAACTGCACGCGCTCTCTGGGAGATAAGAGTTTACACTGATGACATGGCGCCTGGTGCATGAAATGCCTCGTAGCAGCAAGAGGCTGTTCATCAGCAGCACAGAGCCGCTCCATTTGGCTGATCACCATGAAAAAAAAAAAAAAAAGCTTACACAGCAACGCGTGAACGCTTGGAGAAGTTGGGTGGTGACTTGGGAGACAGATTTGCCCACGGCGCTCCCATTGGTTTATTAGTGATGTGATGACATGGAGGAGTTGGGCTCAACACTTTATAAAGCTGCTCCATCCGCGGCGAGCCGCTCTTTTAATAAAGACCGCTGAGGCTGAAACTCCATCTCCATCCAACCTACTGGAAGCAAGTGAAACCTCTACCATACTTTCCACCATGAGTGAGGTAGGACATTTTTCCTGATGTTTTATAACCAGGAGGTGTCGGGATTTTATCCAAATTACGCACGATTCCTCTTACATGGCACGCAAGAAGTAGTAGCGAATTTCCATTTTGTATCCAAAAAAGGTGTCTTAAATCCAAGATATTTTTTTTACCTGATGAGGTTCTGTAGAATCAAGTGTTGCGGTGTTGGTGTGAATTGTTGAGCGTCAGATGGAGCGCAGCTGATCCGGGGTGGAACAGCGGGGCGCACCAGTGCTGTGTGAGTTTGTTCCTGCAGGTTCGCACATTTCACCACTGAATGTGCGGGAATGCGATAACCCTGCACCATGTTAACAGGTGCACAAAGTTATTTCATATTTCCCTATCATAATTAAAGCTGGTCCATAAGAAATCTGAGTAAATATGATGCCTCCCCGTTTTAGATGACGTTTCAAAATTATTATTTTTTTTTTTAAGCAAATGAAACAAACATTACTGGTCCCTGACTGGTAAATTTAATATTTTCTTTTCTTTTTTTTTCTTTTTTCTTAAATCCAAAACACTTGTTTAGTTGTGTAAACGTCTGTACTCCTCTGCAGAGTGTTTAAGACAAAAGTTAGGGCAGAAATAATGCTGTTAATTTCTAAGATGTGAATGATAAAAATCATTTATATTTTATCATTTCTTTATTAACTAATAAGAAGAAAGAAATATTTTTAATAAGTTAAGGACAGGGTTTCTCAATTTTATTATTCTAAAAGGGGGACTTGTACTGCTGAATAGAGTTTGGAATGCTTTTTATGTACATTTCATTTAATATGCTGAGAAGATATATCTTTTTAAACTAGATAAATATGTATTTTTATATTGCTTCCATTTTGGTTGTGTTTGTTGGTCACTGTACGTGCATTATTTTCTGCAGAACAAAGGTGGAAATGTTTTTGGGGAGAACAGATTTGCATGAAAGCTGCTCTACCTGTTCTACTTGTTTGCATGTTTAACACTAACTCCTTAATTTGTTTTAAATTTAGGCTAGTTTCCCTCTAAAGGAAAGACTATATTTTAATTCTGTAGGTTCTTTAGAGTGTATCTTTAAAAATACAGCTTGTCTTTTCTTTACACAGATCAGATAAATATTTAAACTTCCTTTTATTCAAAAGATGCATATTAACATTTTACCTTTGAAAGCAAGATGGGTTCAGGTTGTATGAATTAAAGAAACAATGACAGCATAGGGATAACCGAATTACTTCCAGGAGAGGGCTTTTCTTTTTTTATTTATTTTATGGTGAGATGCAGGAGAGGCTGAGCTTTTTAGTTATGATGTTTGGTATTCCAAAGGAAAATAGCAGCCAAAAGAAAATGTGAGGAGGACCAGCAAATAAACTCACTCATGCTTACTTTAGCTTTTTGTGTCATGTGTAAAGTAAAGTTGTTCTCCTTTGAGGTTATAGGTGTAATCAGTCTCCATAGATGACTTAACTGAAGCTGGAGCAGTTGAACATGTTCTGGATGGATGAATCTGCAGTGGTCAGCATTGCAGTGCTTGTTCCATCTTTGCCTCTGCACTCCCTGTCCTTGCATTCTTTCCCCCGTTATGTTAAATCTCCTCCTCAGAGGTAGAATACTCAAAAAAACACCATACTTTGCTCTGTCCAAGCAGATACTTTTGGACTTTACTTTACTTCCCAGGAAACCATAAAATAAAATAAAAGCTTTGTTACTGAATATCCTAAAAAAGAAAACCTGACAGACTGTTCTTTGCCCTTAATAATATTCATACATCTTTCTATCTGTTAAACATCCGCAGCCTGTTAACCAACTTGTTCTGCTATTTTAACAGTATATAGTAATTTATCAATGCAACCTCTGGATTTTGGGATTCACAGACTTCAGGTTTTGCTTCAGTGTAAATTACTGAGTGTTGCTTAGTATGTCTTATTTTCCAGAGGTATAGGATCTAAAATGGAGGCCAGTTAGGGAATTGCATGGATGAAAAATGCAGCACCATAGTTTGAATCAAGACCTGATGGACACCCAGGCCACACAATACTAAATTGCTTTGCATTTGATGATGTGTTCAAAAACAAATTAGCTTTAATTGCTTAGAGACAAAGACAAACTAAAACAGACAACAGCCAAAGATCTGATCAGATCTCTTCTAAAAATAAATCTTCTGAAGCACTATCCAGTTGTTCCATCCAGAAGTTCACCATTTGACTTTTCTAATGAAAAAAAATTAAGACAGTTTTAAGCTTGAAATGTATTGTGTCTGTTTGAGGTTATTCATGTGAAGCAAGAAATTAAGAATTTTATTTGAGTTGTTTTGCTGAAAGAGTTGATTAAGGAATACGAGAATTGCAGAAAAAAATTAACTAGTTTTTAATTAATTAATTAAACTAATTAGTGATTGGCTTGCAAGAACCAGCGAATTTCAATATTTTTGGAGCCTCTGGCTATAAAGTGTTTTTGTAACCTTCACGTGGTGAGAGAGAGCATTACTCCCAGCAAGTAACAGGAAGGCTAAACAGAGCTAACAAATGTGCTCTAGTTTGCTTTTTTTTTGCTTTCAGACTCTGCTTAACATAGAACATGTTAGATTTAGGAAGTATTGGCAGCAGCATGGACATTTTACCCCTGGAAGGTTATTGTAAGCGTATTTCAAATGGAACACAGATGGTTTGATAATGACAACCTTTACAACCTTTCCCTTTTGAAAAATGCCATTTACTCTTCCTTCCCTCAAAAGTACCTGCACCCTGCAACAACAGCCCCAGTAAAAACACCCCTCTTTTCTCTGACATCCTACATGCACTAAAAAACACTAAGCAGGGCCTTGTAGCGCCAGATGCCTAATTGTTTTTTCTCCTTGAGTGTTTGATCCTGTAATAACCAACTGGCCCCGATCTTCAGATATTCAACAACCCACAAGAGATAAGGAAACATCAGCACTGGTGCACTTTAGGGGTGTGTTCTCTCTCCACTTTTCTCTCTAGCTGAATTTCCATCAATCATCAAATTTTGCAAACTGTAAGTAGGAAAATATCGAAAAATTGAAATAAAAATAAAAAAGAAATAGCATTTTTCGCACACATGTCACATGATCAGCAACTGTACCTTACTGCCTTGTTAAAGAGATAAAGAAGAATATCAGAAGTAGTAGAAAGAAAATGGCGTCCACTAGAGCTGTGGCTGAAATATGGATAGATTTTATGTTTACATCTGCCACTTCCTTGTTCTTTTCTGAGTTATTGAGTGAACAAACGTATTCATGTGCAATTTTATTTTTTTATTTAAAGGAAATACTGTTGTTGCAAAAATGTGCCTTTTCAAAATTACCAGAATATCAATATAGTTTTACGCACATTTGTAATGGAAACCTAGCTACTGTCCACAGAAGACTGCTTCTCAGTAAAGGTGATTTTAAAACTCCTGAAGTTTGATGGTAACTCTGCATGTAGACAGAAATTGCATCATGTAGTTCTAATGCAGTCAGAAAACCTCAAAAAAAAAAAAAAAAAACTGGACTGTCTACAGTTCTCCTCTTAAGAACGCCACCCCACACTGCATCCCTTACCTAGGGCTTGTATCCTACAACTTTTAGGTGTGCCTTTGGTTCAACACCCCTGAATCAAGTACTAAGATGATTGAGAGGACTCTTAAGGACTGACTGCATACCGAGGAGGTAGCCATTTGTTTCAGGTGTGTTGGACCAAGGATGGATCTAAAAGTTTCAGGATACTGGCATCCAGGAACTGGAATTGCCCACCCCTGGACCATACCTTACTAATCCTTTTTATTGTGTCATTGCTATGAATAAAAAACAGCAAATCTTCTCAAAAGGACATTCTGATCTCTAAATTACCATTACTACCATGCAACATCATTAATGAACATTTTAATCACCAGCTCTTTGCTTTCACAAAACAGTTCTAAGCCGGCCTAGAAACATGTCCTTTACATAATATTTGGGCCTTTGTAAGCTTTGCTATTTCTGGGGTTTGTGTATCAGGTGATCAGGCATAAAGAAGAGGGTGATCAATACACTGCCCCATTTTGACCAATGAGGCTGCAGCTTACTGGTTCCAGGATGCCATCTTAATTTGCTTATAGAGAGAACTGCCTCCAGTGGTTGATCTTTAAAAGCTCCAGCAGGAGCTGTTCTTTGTGTTCATTTTGCAGACCCATCCAGTGAAAAGGGTTTTGTTTTAAGCCATTTGTTTGGTCTGACTGTTGCCACATTGAAGAAAACGGCCTGAAATAAACATGCAACCACTGCAGTGCCATCATGTTACTAAGGCAACAAGGTTGTAGAGTTTTGCCAGTCGCTATGCTTGCATTGCACTGATATTAAAGTGATACATTTTTATATTGTTGCAAATCAGTTTGAAAATCTTCATATTAACAGTATTTTCTTCAGAATTTACAATAAGGTCAAAATATGAAGTTAGCAGTCCTGGAGGTTTGATTGTGTAAAATAAGTCCCAGATATTATCCACCTTATATGGATAATTTGTGCTTTGTAAGATATCCTTGAAAGAGAAGGACAGAGGATGTTATAGAAGAAATATGCTGCCTCTCACACATGGTAAAACAATTGCACAAGAAAGCAATATTTAGTGCTTTGCTGCATCTCCTCTGACTTTTATAACAGCACAAATATTTTGATAGTGTTTAAGACAATAGATTAGTTTCCTACTCTGTGAAGCAGCTGACAGATAAGATTAGGATGGAGTCTTGTTACAAACCATTTCTTTCAATTTACCCCAAGTTTCCAGTTGGATTGATCCCCTCTGTTTACTGCCTGTGTCACTGAGCTGAAATTTGTTTCCTGATGAAGCTTTACACCATCCCCCTGACAAGGACCACCAAACTCACTTCAAACAGAAGGAATGAGAGAAGTGTCCAAAACTCTGTTGTACAGCTATGATTATACTTATAAAATGGCAAATCTACACGTAGACAGACTTTATTGTCATTTTGTACACACAGAGTGCATACAGAAAGAAATTTCGTTCAGT